TACATCTAAATAATTTTAAAACAAATTTTCTTTACATTTATAAATTTATATATTCATGAAATATTTAAATTTAATTAATTATTTTCTTACAAAAATAGTATAAAATCATTTTAATAACCTATCAAATGAAACAAATCTAAAAACTATATGAGGAACTTATTTCACTGCTAACTAATTACATGTAATAAGACTTCAATTCTCTGTTTTTCTTTAATAAACTCCTTTAATCTAGTTTGCAGCTTTAGTTTTACAAGACTCACAAGCATGAATTCTTATGTTATCATCATGTAGATTGATGTCACTGATAAAATGTTGTAACTTGCTAGAGAAAAAAAGCTTGAATATAAAAGCAAAATCTTGGGATAACATTCTCAACAAATATGAAAATACACGAAATTAAAGTACTTATGCGGTGATGAGTTCCTTCTTAGCTAGAATAGAATATCCTAGCTGAGAAGGAACTCATCACCGCATAAGTTTCCATACAAGTAATAGTACAACAAGTTATATCCGTACGTATCATCTTGAATACAAAAATCTCTTGACAACGAAGATGACATTGAGAGCATTCGAGCCGAGAGTTACCATCGTTGAGAGCAATTTCGACTTTATAACCACGTAGTTTCAAAATGCGGTTAGGCTTTATGTAGATATCTTTCCCCAGTAAACATCCGACATGAAGAGTGATCCTACAAGTGTCACATGTGTAAAACCATTTCTTTGAATCTAATTTCTTTTCGCATATCTCACACCAATATTGGCCACTTGTTGTATCTTCTTCGCCGTAACAGAGAGTGAGTGGATGCCTATCATGTTTGTAATGTACCAGGCTCGGCAAAGTAGCGCATTTGAGTCCTAGAAAAGACTTGCATTCCATACATTCCAGGAAATAAGATGAACAATCATCACCACAACCCATGCAATTACCTTTGGTCAAGTTGAAGAACAGAGGATGATCTTGTGGATGACAACCATGGATCAAAGGATCGGGAAGGGCAGCGCACCTTACGTCTAGTTGAAATTTACAATGTTCTTCACCGCATTTGTACAGAAAACCACAACCTAATCGGTTGCAACCATCACATCTGAACATGCCTTGCTCAATATTCTCGAGACCACTAAT